GCTGTGCAACTTCGTCTCTTGGACCGCAGCTATCAATATACCATGCCATAATTTTAGATGAAAACAAGAATCTGTACAGAGGAAATAGAGTGGATATCATGAAAATTCCAGAACAAAAACCATCGACGTTAAATAGCTCCGAGGTAAATAATAGCAGTAATAATATGGCAAACAATGAGCCAGATATAAACGAAAAGACGGAGTCGGGTTCGAGAAAGGGAAGTGATATCGATATATCACAACCCGAACACACAAGAACAAACAAGAATATGTGATAAATTTTGCGACAATTTAATTTTGCAGCACTACATCTACTCATTGTCGCCGGCAAAATTAGAAATAGATTTAATTTGGCGACGTCAACAATTGCAGTCCTGCAGCCAAGATGTCGTGCTGTCGTCAAAATAATTGTGTCCGTAAGAACGTGTGTATTTAAAATTTGACAGATGCTGCTTGTCGCTTGCTGTCGTCAAAGTGTTCCGAGCTTTAGAAGCAAATGACAAAAGCAATAAATGAACATTCATTACAAAGCAAACACTCGTGTCGAACACTACATAACAGACAGTCTGCTCTCCTTCTCGGCGCATACAACCGCAATTGTCAACAACGTACAGAGCCACAACAATGTCCTCAAGTCGCTGGCCTTGGGGCAAAGATAAAGAAACGTTGTTGGCAACATACAAGGCAATTGGCTGGCCGGTTCTAAACTATGCAGCGCCCGTGTGGTCGCCTGGGACTAGCAGGATGCAGTGGATGAAGCTACAGACTTGCCAGAACACGGCACTACGCACAGCGACTGGATGCCTCCTGATGACGCCCCAACACCACCTACACGACGAGGCCCAGATGCTCCCAGTCAAGGAGCATAATACAATGCGCTGCCAGCAGTTCCTTGTGGGGAGCCACAGACGTCGTCATCCCAGCAAACAGCTGCTTGCAGAAGAGCCCTCGCCAAGGCACGGCAGGAGGCATCTCTTCGAACTGACGGACGAAGTCCTCTGGTCCCGTCAACCTACCGACAGGCCCTGAACGGCATTCACAGGAAATCAGTCTCGAGTTATGTAGACTCCCGCCCTGTGAATGCGGAATGTGGACGGGACAGAACTTTGTCTACCTCGGGAGACCCGCACTACAATAGCCCAACTTCGCTCTGGCTATTGCAGTAGGCTCAACAGCTACCTGAGCAGAATCAACGAGGACCAATGCCTGGCATGTGGAGAGTCGCCACATGACTCTCGGCACCTCTTCACATGCCCTGAGAACCCTACTCAGCTGACGCCCCTGTCCCTATGGACAGACCCTGTGGAACTCGCAGACTTCCTGGGCCTCCCCCTAGCTGAAATGGACGACAACATTGACGGATGAACCGACCCGAGCGGGGCTTAGTAGACGTTACAACAACAACAACAACGAAACGCTGGAAAAGTGAGCAATTTTATTATTCATTTTATTATGAATTCGTGTATTAACAGGCGTTAAAAATATAAACGCACCACACAAGGGCAATTTTGTAACGACCACCCCGAACTGGAAACGGGTAAAAACTGTTCAAAAAAACTGTTGCCCCGGAGTCCCCTCATAAGTATTTTTCTCTGAATAATTTCTTCTTGCTCTACATCAATAGGCACGCACATAATAATTATTTCCTCCATGATTAATATTCTGCAATGGATTCTATTATGATATGCAAATGCAAATGATATCTTTTTAACACACCTATTTAGGTAAATAAAATGGTTTTACAGTTTTTATTTAAAAAAAAACTGTGTAACCTTTTTCTGCAAAATTAGTAAAATTTAAAATAGTAACATATGTTTTAGCATTGTCACGTACTCAATAGGTCATCACAAAAATAATAGGAATTGTCACCGTTAGAGCTTTCAAATTGCCCTCTGCATACCTAAACGTGACAATTGATTATAACTTAGGGTTTACACCGGACAATATTGTCAAAACAATTACGTCAAAATGATGTGTTTGTTGTAATACGAATTCGCCGTGTTTACCTTCATCTTCAATGTGGGTAGCAAGCCTACGTTTGTAACTAGGGTAAGAGAGGTTCTAGATATTACTCTCGGGAATAGCTGGGCCGATGATTTGATCTCGGACTGGAGTCTCTTCGGAGCCCTCGATGTCGGATCACAGAATCATACAGTTCTCTCTGGAGGCTTCTATGAACCGAAGGACGCCCAGTAGGAATCCTAGGAAGACTGACTGGGTTAGTTATCATAACTTTTTACAAACCAATCTAAGCACCATAAAGTTAGAGAACAGGGCGAAGCGATGGGCGGAATTGGAGGCAAAGGTTGGCAGCTTAAACGAGGCAATAAGCAATGCTTATGTATCGAGTTGCCGACTAGCAGAGCCAAAGGGTCAAAAAAGTAACCCTTGGTGGAACTCCAAACTCTCAGGTCGCCGGAAAGAGGTCAGGAAACTCTTTAACCGGGCAAAAAGGACTGGGAACTGGGACGACTACTCCTCTGTCCTAACCACCTACAACAAAGAGATTCGCGAAGCCAAAAGAAATAGCTTCAGGAGATTCTGTGAGGGGATCAGCTCCACTCCGGAAGCGGCCAGATTACACAGAGCATTAGCTAGAGGTACAGTTGAAAGCCACATGGCAATAAAACAACCAGATGGAAGCTACACACGAAGTGAGGAAGAGAGGGCTCTAGCTCTACTTACAACCCACTTCCCAGGAGCACTGCCTCCAGTAGCAGAAGACAGCGATGTTTCCTATAGACTCGTTGCGGAGGACTGGGGGACAGCAAGACGTCTATTCACCTGGTCAACTGTGCGATGGGATATTAACTCGTTCGAGCCCTACAAGACCCCAGAAATAACTGGATCTCCTAGCCCCGATCCTAACCAATGTTATGCGGGAAAGTCTGGCACTGGCATATCTCCCACAACTGTGGAGAAGGGCCAACGTCAAATTTATAACCAAAATTGGCAAAAGAGACTACTCAGATCCGAAATCCTTTCGCCCGATCAGCCTTACATCGTTTGCTCTAAACACGATGGAGAAAATTCTGGACAATCATATCAGAACCACCACCCTAGCGTTATTACCGTTACACCATGGGCAACATGCCTATCGGGCTGGTAGATCAACGGACACTGCGCTGTTCCAGTTGTCAACTACCATACGGAATGCAATTGAGGGGGGTGAGGTCGCGCTCTGCGCATTTTTAGACATTGAAGGAGCCTTCGACAACACCTCACATGAAGCAGTAGATCGAGCTCTAGAAAAGAGAAACGTAGCCGCCCCGATTCGAAGGTGCAATGCTATTGACCAGATTAGCAGATACGGTAGTAGGAAACAAAATCTTACAGCTGAGAACAGTTAAAGGATGCCCTCAGGGGGGAGTATTGTCCCCCCTCCTGTGGAGCATATTAGTAGACGAATTACTCGAGTTACTATCCAATAATGGCATAATGTGCCAAGGATACGCGGATGATATAGTAATCATAGCGAGGGGCAGATTTGAGAACACCCTCTGTGATATAGTACAAAGAGCACTTACCCTAACGAAAAGATGGTGCGGCACGGTAGGCCTCAACATCAACCCCGCCAAAACCGCCATCATTCCGTTTACCAAGAGAAGGAACCTCCCAGGCATGCACCTCATAACACTGGGAGGTATAGAGGTAGAAATGTGCAATGAAGTAAAATATCTGGGGGTCATTCTTGACTCCAAAGCCTCATGGAAAAAGCACGTTGAGTACGCAGTCACAAAGGCCACACGGGCTCTAATGGTGGCAAGAAGACTGGCCGGCAAATCATGGGGATGCAGCCCCTATATCCTAAGGTGGATGTACACCATGATAGTCAGGCCAATAGCTACATATGGAGCGGTGGCGTGGTCCGAGAGGACCACTTTTAACACAGTGAGGGCATCGCTCTTCAAACTCCAGCGGCTGGCGTGCACATGTATAACAGGTGCCATGCGAACCTGCCCCACCGCTGCCCTGGAGGTCATTTTGGACCTGACGCCACTGCACATAGTTATAGAACAGATTGCCAAAAAAGCCCTCCTCAACTTCATGAAGGAGGGCTCTGGCACAGGGAAAGTGATCTCGAGCAGATTGGGAGATGAAATTTATTTATTTATTTATTTATTTATTTATTTATTTAATCAAATGGAATAAAATCCTTACTGACTATAAAACAAGAGAGCTTATACACTACCTAAAATAATTAAGTAGGACAAAACGAACTGTTCCAAATGAGAGAGACGGATCATATTCAGAGAGCTCATTTAGCTCAGAAAGGGTTCTGAACAGTGGCGAGAATTTTACATAGTTAGTTTTTGGAAATCCCAGGTAGAATAAAGAAACACGACGCAGATTATGAGACGGAACGTTTAATGCTAACTTATCCAAAAGATTAGGACAATCGACTGTGCCCTCCAATATTTTGGCCACAAAAGATGCTGCGAGGAAAGAACGCCTAGTATTTAACGAACTTAAATTAAGAA